GGGGAACTGTTCACATGAGCAAGGTGGCTCCTTCTTCAAGATACAGCATAACAAGCAAGATGCAGTGGTAGGTAGATAAGAACATGGAAAGGGTAAGATTTTTTTCTTTCATGCTGTTTTCTTAATTTTAAGCAAGGTCATCAAGTGAGAGTGATGGTAGATGGAGATGCAACTAGAAAGAGAAGGTATGAAAGAGGAAAAAGGTAGAATTCTAGGCTACGTGAAAGATCCGTTTAAGGTTAGTCGGCATGAATTTAAAGTAAATTCAGTTAAGATTGTTGTGTTTTTTTCTGTATCCATTGTTAACTTCATGGCTACAGGTGTGAAATAGGCATTAAAATGCATGTAACTAGAGGTGGGGTTTTCCTAGGTGAGAATGACAAAGTACACGGAAGATGTATGCCAGGGAGTGTACATACCTCAACTAGGGGAGCGGTGACAGGGTGAGAAGGCTGTGGGCTCATGGCCCGTGGGTTACAGTGGGGTCAGAGAATTGTTGTACTTGAGGTAGTCAAAGAGATGGTCTGCCAAGGTGGAAGGTAGTGGTGTTAGACGTGAGGAACACCAACTGCTTTTGTTTATTGGGTGTCTTGTTGGTAAAGCTGTGACGTGGTTAGTATCTAATGATTTCCAACTTTCTGTTAAGTTCAGGTGCCCATAATTTTTGTTGCTAGGCCTAGCAATTCTAGTTTTCCATAGGCCACTTGTTTTTATAAAGTGTTACAGAGAAACCACCTGCAATAAAATATTCAAATAAGCATAGACTCCTATATAGAAACTGAAACACGAGAACCCAAGATGTGACAGTGGCACGAAACGAGTCTTTGTCAGTGGATGACGGGAATAGCTACAGAGGCAATGATCTGTTCCCTAATGTTGAGAAGACTTCAAAGATCTTTGATAGTTTCTTGATTTGTTTCATGGTTATTAATTATGTCTCCTTCCTGAGGTAGATTTAGTAAGGAGAATAAAATTATGCTGTGGTCCAGATTTTATATTTATTAGTATAATTACATATAAACTAGCTTAAAAATTCTTATAAAATATTCCACATTTTCTAGTTATTTTCAATCACTTTGATAAGGCATTTTATTATATCTCAAGGAACCAGCTTTTGGATTAATTTCTCCTATGCTGCTTTTTCCTAATTCTTTCTGTGATTATCCTTATTTTCTTACATTTTATTTTTCACTTTATAATATAAAAGTTTCCAGAATACAATAAAGTAGGGAAATGGTGGTATGATCAACATCTATACATATGCCCACCTTATGTATTTTAATAATTATAAACATTTTTATGGAACTGTTTTAAAGTTTTAAAATATACAGTATTATAAATGCTATAGCACAGGGGTGAGGAACCTTTTTATGTAGAAAGGCTGCATTAATTTAGCTGTCATCAAATAAGGCCACAGTCAAGAAACCTCCATTAGAGGTTAAAAATATACATTATTCTGTAAAACTCTAACTACTACACCTTTTGTATTAACCTGGATAGAAGTGGAACACATCGCTTCAAAAACTGAAAACTATTTGTTAATTCCAAAGTTAAGTAATGACTTTATTGTGCTGAAATGCATTTGACTATCTGTTTGCATCGTGGAGGTGTGTGGTTTCAGTTGATCCTCTGCAGCCATTTGTGACCTTTTTTTTTCTGGAGACAGAGTCTCATTTTGTTGCCCTCGGTAGAGTGCCCTAGCATCATACCTCACAGCAACCTCAAACTCTTGGGCTATAGTAATTCTCTTGCCTCAGCC